TATCACATGTAGGACGGCCAAAATATCCGATTTAATAGTAAAATGTCCTAACTTTGAATTGCTACTGCTCTTTTAAAAATCACTTTACCAGAAATTTAAAATCGTAGTTTTATTGAGCTTGAACTGCTCTATTATTCTACAATTGTATTTTTTATTTATCATTTTTTTTAAGTGAAGAGTAATAATTTAAATTTTGTCAAATTTATATATTAGGACTAATGCACTGTAATAAATATGTACCTTACTATTGAGACTTGTTATTCAAATATTTTAAAGGGATTAAGTCAAATTTTACCAAATTCTTTAAAATATTTAAATTTAAAATTAGCAATTGATCCAATTCAGTTAAAAATCTTTTTTGATCAATGTTATCATATCATTAGTTTAAACAAATTAATAGTTAAAAATCGCAATCTTTATAATTATTATGTTGAGATCACTTTTTATACTTGAAAAACTTTGTAAAGGAGTAAAGGTTTAAAAATCTTGCATATCATATCATCCAATTTTTTAAACCTTTACCTTTGTTACTTCAAAATTTGGAAAAGATAGTTAATAAGATTCAACCTTTTGTAAAAATGAAGTTGTTCAATGAATTAATTGTAAACATTTCTGATTTTAAAATATGATTATGTCTTGAGATTATTTGTTTAAATAAAATTACATCATTATTATTTTAAAAATTCTGCTAGTTTATCATAAGAAATTGTTTAATATGAAAATTCATTTTTTTTTTAATTCAAGAGAAAAAAAATGGGTGAAATTGGATTATAATTTAACAAAATTGGAACTTTATAAAATCAGCGAATTTATATGACACTAGAAAATAAATCAAATACATTTTAATTTGTAAAATTCTTATTGTTGTGCAAAAAATCGATTAAAAAGTAAAGGTGATAAATTTACAAGTTTTAATCAAATTACTATCTGACTTCACCTGTTTTCAATTTAAAATATTTTCATATTTCTACCTAAATAACCAATCTAATTAAGAAATTTGTTGTAACCTAAATGCGTTAAGGTGTTTGGTTGTCCAAACATAAATGATAGATTTTTTAAAATCCATTAACAAAAAGTTAATTAAGGCTACATTTTATAATAAATATTAAATTAGTATTTAGTCAGGCTGCAAATTAATGTTCGAATTCGCATACTATTAACAAAATTATTGATATTATTTTTTAGAATAGTTTTCTGCAAGACAAGATGCTACAACCTTTGATTTATAAGCTCTGGCATCATCTTTTTGAAACAAACCAATATTTTTTGGAAATGCGCTTCATGTGAGTATGGCATAGTTGAGTAGTATTTCAATAATATATAATATTTGGTTTTTGACCCATAACTGGTCCACATTCTTTATCAGAAAAAACAGTCCAAAAAATGCGACTGGAACTGGTGTATTACCTTAAATGAGACAGTCAAGGGTGAAAATTCATCTTTTGGTTCTCTCCAAATCCTGCTAGTGCTGAAATTGAGTAAAAGTAGATTTATCACTCCATAGATTTTTGCTCAATCATTTGGTCCAGTATTCATTTTCAAGATACCATGCACTCAGTTTGCCATTAAATGAGTGTCCTTTTTTTGTCAAAAGTAAAAAAAAAACACTATCTAAAAATTTGCGTGTACTACTTTGTCATGATTTTGTTAGTGTATATTGATTTAAAATTTTCAACAATTTTTATTAAAGCTTATTCTCTTCAAAATATGAAATAATTTATAAATAATATAAAATAAAGATTTTATTGAATTGTAAAATAAAATTGGGACTTGTTATGCAAAGTAACATTTTTGTATATAAAAAAAGATGAACATATTACATGATTTATATAATACAGTACTGTGTATATATACTGTATAAAATGATTGATTGCTTTTTCAAGGATCAAATAGTAATTGCGTTCCTTAAATTTCTACTTTTAAATTGTCAAAACAAACTTTTGAGCTTACTGGCTTAGTTAATGATGAATATGCTGCCTAAATTTCTGAATGTTATTTACATTATTTACAAAATAACTAGAGGTTGAAACTGGCTGAAAATTCTTTAACTGGTTAATAACTGGTTAAAATTAACTTTGGCCAGTACTATAAATTTGGCCAGAGTTAGACAATATTTTGTCAATCATAAAAATCTTAATTCTGGTTGAAAATTGAATTTCAGCTGGGTTAACATGTTAACCATTTTAACTGGTTAAAAATTAATCAGTTTCAACCTTTAAAAATGACCTTTACTTCTTTAGTTTAAATAGCTTACCATTCACTTACAAAGAAATTTGTAATTGAAAATACTTTAAAATTTTTTTCTTACCCTCCAAATTTTCTATAATATATGGGATCTTTGCAATAGAAAAAGAGGAAACAGCTGAAAAAAATCAATTTTACTTTTATATGCTAAATATGATTTTTAGGTCAAAATATGTTCAGATTTAGCATTAACTCAATTTTTATTTTTTCCAGCCGTTTCCCCTTTTCTATTGTAAAGGTCTCATATAGTAGCGATCATAAATTATGCAATAAAAAAAAATTTCATTAAAATGAAATATCTTTTGTAATTACAAAAATAATTAATTTTTTTTTTATTATTTTATTTAATAATATTATAATTTCCTAAAACTAAAATTTAAACATGAATTAATAAATAAATTATTTTTTAAAGTATATAATTATTTGGATAATGCTGTTGTATTATTTATTTTCATTTTTAACACAACTCAAATAACAATTAATACATTCCAAATTAATATATTGCAACATTATTCTTTTTTAAAATATATTTTAAATTTGATATAATTACCACCTAGTATACCCTTCCCGAGCCTTAATAATATCATGAATCCTTTCTGGCATAGACTGAATTAGGTTAGTACAAGTTTTAACATCAAATTCTTTTCAGACCTGCTGTATCTTATTCTATAAGTCCTCTTTACTTGAAATTTGTCCAGGGAGATGTCTTAACCAATGGTCAACCTCGTTTCATAAATATACAATAGGATTCAGATTCAGGGATTGGGGTGGCCAATCTAGGACCATCACCTTGTTTCTCTTAAGCTACTGTTTTGTTAAATTTGCCGTGTGCTTTGGATCTCCATCATATTGAAAAATAATGTCTTTAACAGTAAAATTATGTGCCCTGATAGTGCCCATTAAATCATCATGAAGAATTTGTTAATATAAGTTAGCATTCATAATGCCATCAATCTTACAATAACCACCAATATCACGAGATGTAAAATATCCCCATATCATAACTGACCCGCCTCTAAATTTTACTGTAGGTTTAATATGGTAGTCTTTATTGGTTGTCCAGGACGCTTCCAGTAATACTGCTTTCCATCAGAACCAAAAAATCTTGAATTTTGATTTATCAGACCATATTACTTTTAACCAATCCTCAACAGTCCAATTTTCATATTTTTTGCAAAATTATATCGAGATTTTTTATATTTTTTACTAAGGTATGGCATTTTTCTTTAACCTTGCTACTAACTCATTATTTTGAAGTACACAACGAATAGTAGATATTGAGAAGTCAAGATTTTCTTTTTTTTATAGTTGGTTTCATACTTTAACAGCTGATGAATACCTCCGAAAAGTAATAAGGTTAACAATCCTTCTTTGTATTAGTTCTTTTACAATAGGTGAACGACCTGTTCTTGCTAAGTCTTCAAGAGAGTAGGTTTCAAACCATCTTTTTCTAATACGAGAAACTGTAGAAGGTGCAATTTTTTGAGCCTTTGCTACTTCTCTAATTGTGTATCTATTTTGTAATAAAAGAAGAATTTGTGTCCTTTCATTAGGAGTTGTGTGACACTTTTTTGTTGCTACTCATTTATTAAGTAATTGTTACATATCATGAAACTAAACAATAAATAAAAAAAATACCTTTTTATACAATTTTTATGTAGCACAATAATGATCATCTGATTCATGTCAAAAACAATCAAAAGTAATGCAACGCGTGATTTGTACTAATTGCATATTATTTTATAATCGGAAGTATTAATGGATATTAAAAATTTAATACCGAAAAATAATGGTATTAACAAATAAAATTTTATTAAAGAGGGTGGGATATCTCTAGAATTGAAAGAAATATTTAAATTTAAAGGATTTTATTTTTTTGTTGCATTATTTATGATTGCCACTGTAACTTGGCTTGTATTATTACTTATAAAAATAAGTATGAAAAAATATTTTATCACTAATGTTATCGAAATCAAGTTAAACAATTAAAAAAATTGTAATTTACTGGGTTTGCTTTTGGATTAGGAATAGATACGGAATTGAGGATATTCGAAACTTTTACCTAAATGATATTCGGTTTTTATTAATTTTAATATTTTTTTTATCATCTAAAAGTGGGTGCAGTTACTTCAGATGGACCCTTCGGCTCGTCAGGGCAGCACAAGCAGATGGCAAATGTTTTTATCTTTCTTTATACTTGAATTATCGTGTACATGTAATATATATTTAATTAATAAAAAAAATTTATTAAATTATTTATTTAAACGATAGTCTCATTTTTTTTTTTAGATACAAAAAAGATTTATTTTTCTTTTTTTTTTCACAAAAAAAAAAACTTCCTTGTCACATAGACCAACGCAAGTAATTAAAAATTTTCATAAATGCAATAATACCAAATATCAATCATTTTATTTATAACTTAATAAAGAATATCAAAACTAAATATTAAGAAAGTAGTTAGTACAATAACCATAGGCGAAGAAGTCGACCTAATCTAGTTAAGAAACAAAACTGGAAACTATATTTATCAACAAAAAGCGGTATTAATTTTGGTAATGATTTACACGAATTTTTGCTGCGTAAGGTATGTAATTTACTACTTTTAACCAAAATCTACGCGCGTGGTAATTACAGTATGTCATTTAATAAAAGTGATGTATAAAAAGACACACACACTGTTGGTGAACAATTTCAATCATTCTCTCTCCATATTTCTTTCTACATTTTTTTTTTCCTTTTTTTTTAAAAAAATAATAATGTTTCGCACTCCGTTTCCAAAAATAAAACCTTTGGTGGATGATAACTCTACGTCAAAAGTATTTCGACCAGATTTAAATATTGGTTTGATATGTCCAGAATGTAGAAATTCTCAAGCAAATTTGATTGAAAAATACTCGAGTGGAGATATAGTTTGCGGAGATTGCGGTTTAGTCCTTGCAGCTCGTATTATCGATACAAGATCTGAATGGCGCACGTTTAGCGGCGATGATAATGATCCGTCTCGAGTTGGTGCAGCAGCAGACCCATTATTGAAGGATTCAGCTTTGAAAACAATTATTTCATCAAAGGGTCGTAAAGGTCTTACTAGAACACATTAAAACAACAACTAGTGAATTTGATATGACATTAAAACATGCATACTCGGAAATTGAAGCATTGGTGTGGTTCAATGGATTTAACAAAAGAAATTTCTGATACGAAAAACCAATTATATAAAAGGTCAATTGAGGAGAGATTATTGCATGGGAGAAATCAATTGGCAATTTTCTCCGCATGTCATTCCCAATGCTACATAAATGTTAGATAGAATTTATCTCAGAATATTAAATAATTAATATACAGGCAGTCTTGATAAACCAGATTCAACGAGAAATCTATTACATTATTACCAGCGTTGTATTTTAGATATTAGTTGTACAAGAATTATTATATCATGTTTATCAAAGGTTTGGACTATCAAGACTGCTTGTATTACCTAATAATATTATTTAAATTTATGCCTTTGAAGAAGATTTTGACTAGAAAAATTGGTACTTTGGCGTAAAGATAGTGTTTTCGTTAATGATGCACGATACATTTTCAAATTTTCAAAAAAAGAATTAAAGTTTTATTTATAAGTGTTATTGTTATTTATAAAAAATTATGCCACAAATACATAGTTTATTTATTTATTTAGCTTTATATATAAAAGTTTTGTTGGTTTTTATTATTTACACAATCATTTCTATTTGTTTTTGTTTTTTGACGAAGCTGGATCGTTTTGTGCCACATAATTTTTTTTTTTGGTAATTTATTTTGGTTAGATCGTTCAATTTTCATTGGTAATGTTTTTTTATTTTTATTTAGGCTACAGTTACAAGAATAACAAAATTAATCACTTGACCGCCGATCAAGTGACATTATTTATCGTATGACCTGTGTTAGTTTAAATAATTGAAAACTCTCTCTTTAACTATTCTTTATTCTTTAGATTTTAGCAATGTCTGATAATAATAAAAATAAAGTCGCACCAAATTATGGTATATATTTTTATATTTTTATGTTATTAATACAAATATTCTAAAAAAATTTTCTTAAAATAAATATGCAATCGCTTCCATATTATTACTGTAATTTACTAAACAAAATTTTTTATTTAAAAAATATTTGATAATAGCTCGTAAGTTAATTTATTAATCATCATTAGCATTTAACGTTAATACAATAATTTTAATTAATTAAATTTTATTAAACTAATAGTGGGTAAGTTATTTTTATCGACTATTAGTATTTAACAATACATTTTCAACTCAATTAAGTTTTTTATTTGAAAAAAATTAAAAAAATTTATTACATAGGACGTAAGATACTTTCATTAAATATTAATTTTTAATTATACTTGTTACTGTAATTTAAAGTAAACTAAATTTTTTATTTAAAAAATAAATTTTATTAGGGAGTAAGTTATTCTTATTAATTATCAGTATTTAATTATACTTATTATTGTAATTTAAAGTCAACTAAATTTTTTATTTAAAAAAATAAATCTTATTAGCTCGTAAGTTATTTTTATTGATTATTAGTATTTAATTATACTTGTTATTGTAATTTAAAATCAACCAAATTTTTTATTTAAAAAAATAAATTATATTAGCTCGTAAGTTATTTTTATTGATTATAGTATTTAATTATAATTGTTACTATAATTTAAAGTTAACTAAATATTTTATTTAAAAAATAAATTTTATTAGGAAGTAAGTTATTTTTATTAATTATCAGTATTTAATTATACTTGTTATTATAATTTAAAGTCAACTAAATTTTTTATTTAAAAAAATAAATCTTATTAGTTGGTAAGTTATTTTTATATTATTAGTAATTATACTTATTACTATAATTTAAAGTCAACTAAATTTTTTTTATGTAAAAAATAATTAATAATATAATAGAAAGTAAGTTATTTTTATTAAT